TTTCTTTTTGTGGCAACTCTTTAATTCCAACTTTTCACGTGACATGTTTAAGACCACAAGATTAAAGAGCATTTTGGTATATTTTACATATCTTTAGTTTCCACAAGATTCAAAAGTCATTTTATTTCTTAAATTTCGTGTCAAGTCAAAATAAGACAAACATATTGAAATGGAGGTAGTAATAGATATTTGTATGACTATATATCAACTCGTTAATGGTATAATGGGAAAGTTAAAGTAAGTTGTTTGTAAATATAGGAAGATCTAGACAAACAAAAATGGAAAGTACATCACATAAATTGTCCCGGGACAGAGGAAGTATAAGATTGTTACAATATAAGAAAAATATTAACAAGAATTACATGCCAGGTACTTGGTCACGTCTGCTATCATATATTGGCTGCTGGCCTCAATGGTTACATGGCTACATTGACTAACTTGAAGAATCCTGTCAACAAGTGGCGCTGTGGGGCTGCTCCTATAACTGTAAGCTCCTTACTGTATTTTGTACTTATGTTTCACACTGTCCATTACCTACCAAAAGAAAAGAGGACATAGATTGACCTTATCACTATTTGTTTAAAATCTAGGCTATGATGAGTGTGAAGCGGTATGGTCGTGGTCCTGGCAAGGCATCACTTGGGAAGCCTGCTGTGCATCCAGCCACTGTAGATTTGAAGGGCAAATCATACGAGTATGTCTATGTCCTGATATTTTGCTTTTTTACAAGCGAAGCCTAAGAGGAAGCTGAGCTTTTGTGATTGAAAAGTAGGAAGTAGATGTGAATTCCCAGGAAAAGCTCTCTTAAGAGCTGGCATTCTAAAGTGAATTGTGTGCATATAACTGATGTGTATCTTTATTTTGGTGCAGATTATTGAGTCAAAATGCGACAAAGTTCTTGCTCGATGATGTTTACAGAAACCCAGGCCCCCTCCAGTTTGATGGCCCTGGTGCTGACGCAAAGGCTATTACTCTTTGCGTTGAAGACCAGGATTACATGGGTCGTATCAAGAAATTGCAAGAGTATCTGGACAAGGTGATGATTGCTCTGCAAGAATATATTTACACTTAAGTAAAATTATAGCATCATTTATTTATCATGGCCACCTGCTATCAAAGCTTGGCTACACGATTACGTTCTCTCTTTTAAACTTTGGTTTGGTGCATGCGTTCTCATTTTACTATCTACTTTCCAGGTTCGTACAATCGTGAAGCCTGGATGCTCACAAGATGTCCTGAAAGCTGCACTTAGTGCCATGTCTTCTGTCACAGAAATTCTTTCTGTGATGACCTCTCCTTCAAGCAACGTGAACACACCATTCTAGATGAGAACACCCCCTTAACCTCGCGGATATTTAGAGGCAGACGTATTTGTCAAACTTAATAGAATTCATAGCCTCCCCCCCTCCCCCCACCCTTTTTTCCCCTCCAATCATCTTTTGCACTTTGCAGAAACTTTATTTAGTTACAGAAATGTTAGTCGGATTGTGTGACATTACAGAGGCCTTCAACTGTCTTTACTCTTTTAGTTTGTTTCTTTATTTGTGTTTTTGAAATTTTGACGACCCGAATAATGTTGAGATTTGAGAAGATTGTATTTATTGTGGTTTCAATAGGTACATGATTTATTGGTTCCATCTGTCACATCACATAAAAAGTGGTGTAAAATTACATTATTAGTTCACTATCCCCTTATCCATTTCCCTCTCCCACACCACTTGTACAAATTCCCTCATACCCCCAAATCCTCCATTTTTTTTCCTTTCCCTTCTTTACATACCAAAAACAACAAACACCATGTGAGAAATCACTATGCAAGAAACTCTCCATCTCTCTTCTTCTTCCTTCTCACTTCCTAAATCCTCCATTCCTCCTCCCAAATCCTTCAAATACTCCACCATTTCTTTCCCTCCACACCCAAAACCACCCACCCCCATCTCCACTCTCCCCCCT